TGCCCCTGCAATCAGTTGCTGAAAATGAATGCATAAAGAAATGGTTGCATTTAGAACAGGCCAGGTAATTGTCCTTCCCTTGTGAAAAGTCACAGTGAAATTAAATGTTTCATTTATTTGTGTAGTTTTTCTGCATTTTCATTAAGGAACAAAGCCCATAATTTTGCCTTTTTTAGCAAAAAGATGTGTAATTTGTGTGTGGGTAATTATTTGTGATTTACCACCTTTTCTCCTTGTTCCTGGCATGCTGCAGAATGAGTTAAGCAAACAAGCCACCTAAAGACACTTTTAATTTTTTTTTTTTTTTTTTTAATGTATAACAGTTATGCCTGAGTTACAGAGAGACACCTACAGGCAGCAGGTAGTTAAAGCAAATACCAGTTTCTCTTTCTACTATACTACTCCATATAGCTGAATAAATTATGGTGCGATTATATATATACACACGCACGCACGCAGGCACACACGCACACACACTCACACGCAGGCTTACACATGGAGCAAAATGGCTATGAGTCAAACACAGAAGCAACATATTCGCAGTTACTAGGAATAAGGAATGTCCTATAGTGCTATGTAGATATTCCCCAGGTGGGTATATGGAGGTGTTAAGGATGACGGGTTAGAAGCATTAAATACACAAAGTCTCTGAGCAACAGGAGCCAATCTGCTGAGCTACTGGACACAGTGAGGAAATGTCCATTCGGTGGTCTCAGGATGGTGTTGAGAGGTGAAGGAGGGGTGCGGGGAGGTACAAGAAACCCACTCGGCGGTTCTGCATTCCCCCAAGGCTGTCAGTTCTCATCTGCAGGCACGAAGAAATGTCGACCTGAGAGAACGGCTCTGGAGCGCATCACGTCACTTGGTGGCTTCTTTGTGCGAGGTGCGTGACTGGTTTTGGATCCCTAGGCACCCTCGGAGTCACCAGTGGGTGAGTGTCTGCTCAGTCCCTGTTTGGTCTGCTTCGAGCGACCACGGCCGCACATTCTTCAGGGTCCCGCTGTCCATCGCTTGCTTGCCTGTTGTCGATTGCTGCTCTTCCATGCTCGGTTTTGTTTCGCCTTCACGGCACCTCCCTCTGTTCTGTCCCACCCTACCCCCTGAGTTTGTTTCTTTCAGCAGAACTGAGGTTGGCAATCCATAAAACAAAACAAAACAAAAAATACTTTGACTTTCATACATGAATGTACCTTAAAACAAAACAAAGAAACCAAAAAAATCCTCAAATCAAACCCATCCCACCCCAAAGATTCTGGAATGTATTTTGAAAACACACGATAGGCAAATTTCTACATTTTGCCCTTCCCACCCCCTTTTTTTTTTATTATTTTTTTTTTAACTAGCACGGTACTCACTGTGGTTTTAGTATAAAAAAATGTCAACTTTCTATAAACATACAGCACATGACCAAATTTCCAACTAATGTACAAAGTGCGACCACAAGGGAAAGGTCAGAGAATAGCTATTTGCACTAGCATGGGGCGTTTTTCATATTCCTCTAAGAACTCTATTTACAGCAGTGCCCGGGTGTCCATGGACTTTCTGGTGAAGCTAAGTGGCAAGCAGGTTTCTGCAGTGCTCCCTCTTTTTAAGACATTTTACTTGCAGGGTCCTGTACTGGGCTCTGAGCTCTGAAGTCCTGCTCAAGAACACACTTGCTGCTAGGACGGACTGTCCGCTCTTCGAGGATGCTTGGGAGGTGGGCTACGCGCATGGGTATGCACAACTGGAAAATAGGACAGTGGAAGGGAGAGGAGAGCTGACAGGTTTTTGCTAGTGGCAGTTGCGGACAAGCAATTCTCATAACAAACTGAAGCTTTCCTTCCAGTTTAGCAGGCAGCTAGGAATGCATTTGGTCAGAAATTTCAGTGTAAAGGACCAGGGATACAAGAAGGGATTACAAACATCCAGGGCAGGTACAGGGCCAGCAGTCACTGGCTGCAGGCTCTGCTTCCTGGTGGCAAGGAGACGCATGGGGCTGTAGACTTGAAGGTGCTCTGAGACCAGCGATGACCAGCATTTGGCCTCGTTAATATTATTTGTGGTAAAGAAGAAAATCGTGTGCTCTGTTGTTTTAGCAGTCAGCTCAGAATGATGCTGACACGCAGGAGCAAATTCAAACAGGTGTTTCAGGCATTAATCCCTAGGCTGGTGTCCACCACAGACACCCTTGCTCTCAATCCCCCAGTTCAGCTGTGACAGTCACGGAAGGTGATTGTTCTTGGGAATGACATTTAAGCCAGGATTGGATTTCAAAAGGGATTTCTCTCTCAGATCATCTCTAAAGCATTAAGAAGATGGAACGGCATCTTTTGTTGCTTTCCAAGATCCCAAACTGGCACAAAGCAGGGAGATGCTCGAGGTAATGTGACTGGTCCCTTCATTTTTGGCTCTTCAGTCACCTCAAGGAAATCAGTGCCTTACCTGTTCATCCAGCTGTAGCTGCAAGATACTAGCCTGAGAAAGGAAGCGAAGAATGCAAGCTACAAGTGCTCCAAAGCTTTGTGACCCAGGGGAAGTCTCTTGCAACTAGGGAAGATTTATGTGTGATACAGCCAGACAAGCAGAGGCTGAACCAGGGTCTCTGCAGGATAAATGACAGTAACGCAGCCTGCAGTTGTCACCCTCTCAGCTCCTGCACAGCCACATGCAGGTGAGTGCGAGGCAGAACGGCCAAGCTGATGTATTAACACACTTCCAGGAATGTAGAGCAGGCTCTGTCACACCCATACAGCAGAGCTGATCAAAGCCACATGTGGATCTGATAGGATGCTGAGCAACATAAGAAACAAAACTCTGCTTTGGTCCCAACAGGTACTTGCCCACATGGCTCAAAAGAAAGCGCCTTGGTCGTTCATGATAAATGATGTTGGGGCAAGGCAGGGGACAGTTCCCCAGAAAAAATGTTGTTTCAGCTGCAAAAACAAGAGCAGATTATTTGGAAAGAATGGAAGAAACAGCAGTAACAGAACAGGGCATGGCAGAAGTGTCTCCTTTAACAACCAGGCCCTAGGAACATATGCTAGACCAGAACTCATCTGACCATGTGGTCCCGTTATCTCCAGTGGGCAGAAGCAGGTATTTGTTATCCTTTAGGATGATTCCTAAGTAGACATATAAAATAGTAAGCAGACTGTAGATGACTCTGTGTACTGCCTGTTGCCATGGGACTTTACAAATCGGCCACTGGCTGGCACAGATTCTGTGGATCAAGATGGTTGTCTCAGGGGCGGTTGTCTCAGGGGCAGCTTTCCTCATTGTCTCCAGGTCAAATTTCAGGGTGTTCTTGAAGCAAGCCCTCTGGATACAGGGAGATGAGGGAAAAAAAGCCTATATATATATTTGAGATCTGCTTAAGAATCGTCAAGGATCATTACCACATGCAGAAGGGAAACTAAAACCCCATGTGGTTCATGACTTAGCAATAACTTCTTATTGTGGGTTTCTTTTATCTGAGCAGTGTGATGAGCAGAATTGTGAGCTGATACAAAAGCAAGAGCACTGGCTTCTACAGAAAAAATGGGGTGATAAATCCAGAAAACAAGATCTAGCTTAGAGAGGGAGAGTCTCCAGCACCAAAATGAAAAGCAGAGGGAAGGAGCTGAGAGATCACATTGTACAGAAGAGGATGCAAAATGAGAGGGATGAGGGAAGAGCAGGGAGGATGGACAAGGGCAAGCATTTCTCCTGGTAGCTGGAGGATACAAAATGCCATCGGTAAGGTAAACAGTACTTTCTTCTGCAGTACAAACAGGTGCAATGCTGTGGGCAGAGAGCGCGTTTTGTTCCTAGATGCTGTTAAAGACTCTTCAGGCCATCTCCCCTCTGACTCCACATCCATATCCATTCCCCAGGGACAGGCAGCTGCAGGACAGCACCTTCAGAAGAAGCACCATTTTCTTTCAGGTGGCCCTTTCCTTGTAGAAGAACACAGTTTTGCACACTGACCCCTGCAAGCAGGCAGCTAACAAACCTCTTTGACTCTTCCCTCTCCTGTCTTTGCTTTCATGGCAAACTTCTCTCCCACTGAGTGAAAGAAGGGCCGTGACAGTCCTCATCCTTCTCGACTGGATGGGCAAAAGCTCCAACATACTCAGCTGTATCCAATGTCCTTCCTCTGTGCATGCAAGGCCAGAGTTTGCTATCACATCTGCAGCTGCTATCCGAAGCCCATGTCTTTTCAGTGATAATCAGGTCTAACTTGGTCCCTAAGAGGAAATGTAAATGTTGCTTGTGCCCGTGCCCATAATCTCCAGTCCTCATGCAGCAATTTACATTTACATTTTCCAAAGGTCCCAGGCTGGACAGACTTACATCCTGCCCCTGCTTAGCAGCAATCTGGCCTGCCTTGGCCCTGCTTTGGGAAGCCATCAGTGAGAATAGAAGGGTAGAGTGGGGTGGGGAAATCTGCTGTCTCTTTAATTTATGTTTATGATTTTTGTTTGTTTGTTTGTTTTTAAACAAGTTCGTATATTTGGTCCATAGGCCTTCTGTGGTCCCTATTACATCATCCTTAACGATCAGCTTGGTTATTCCTTCGTATACAACATTCACCAAATTTACACCAATGGAAAGAAAAGGAAACAAAATGAAACATTTCTTTTTTTTTTTTTTTACAAAGAAAAAAAAGATCAATTTGGCTTTGACTATGCCAGCTACCTAGATCAATGGAAAGTCCTTAAGTGTGGGCAAAATGCCATGGCCAGGTAGGTTAGAGGGAGGGCATGAACTCAGGGTTAATAAATGTACCCAACCCATTGTCTCTGGCCACAGAAGTCAGGTCATTGAGGCCAGGCTTGCCTCTGAGTGCTCTGGGAGGAGCTGGATACTTGGAGACCCCTCCCCATCGTTTCTGTCTCCTTCACAGCTCAATTTGGTACGAGGTGGAAGGGAATTGGGAAGGAGTAGGGTCCGGGTACAGGCAGATCTCTGGAAGGCTGGTGGTGTTTTCTCCAGTGGTACCAAGTTGCTGGAGTGGGTTGTTGGCACAGTCGGACTCTTCAGTAAGCTTGGCCTGTCTCTACTGGTAGGAGACCCAGAACAGCTGAATGTTCTCCCAGCTTCATCCTACGCTGTGTAGACAGGCTCACGTTCTTGGCCAAATAATCAACAGCAGCTGAAGTGGGGGAGGGAGGGGAAGGAGGGCGAGAAAACAGCACAACATGAGGATTAGCTTTTTGTGGAAATGAAGCATTTGACATCAAAGGATGTGTAACCAATAGACCTTGCAGACTGACTCTTAGAAGAGAGGCCTAATTCAGTGGTTGTCCCAGGCACAAGGGCCCTGTTATACTCCTAGGAAAGAGTGAAAACAGTCCTGCTAGAAAAAAAAAGACAGGGTTAAGCACTGCTGTGGAGTGCAGCGTGATGCTGCAGTCCCTCAAATCTCTCCATGGACCTACCGAAAAGAGCTAAAATTCTACTTCTACTATGGAAAATGGTGTTTCCAGAGGAGCTGCCTGAAGACGGGCCTGATCAGAAAGCCAGCAGGATCAGACCTCCAACTTCACCTCCCTGTGCCACCGGCAAATCCAAGCCCTGCATGCAATGGTGCCAGCGTAAATGGCTGCAAAGATTTCAGTGGGACCTCCCCAGTCTGGATGGGGCTTGAATCTGACTCACCCACTGCATGCTGACTCATCTCCATGAGCTCTATCGCCTGCTTTCATCCCTTCTTCCTACAGGAAACTGCTTTGTCTTGGTGAGAAATGCAGCCACAGCTCCTGAGGCAGTGCGTGAATCCGCATCCCAGCTCGCCTGCCTGCCCCGTGGTCTGAGGGGGATGAGGAGCAGGGCAGGATGGTGACATTGCTCATTAGCTGAGCTTCAGTCAAAGTCTCTCCCTTTCACTAGCTTTAATGTCTCAAATTAGATTAATAAGGAGCTGGCAGGAGATGTACAATCAGTGCCAATGAGTAAACAAATTTCAGCCATCAACGTCTTGTCAGATGCCTGCCCCAGAGGAGGTCCCTTCTAGACACAAATTCTTATTAGAGTTGTCATATCTATTAGAATTCCTTTCACGCTTCTGCGTTCCAGCACCGGCATCATTAACACAGCTCCGGCCTTTGGGAACCACAAGGACCACATTAATCTGGCATCTCTGCTCCTCACCGGCTGGGATAGCACAGGCTGGCATGCTGGAAGCAAGCAGGCTCATCTCAGGGTAGATTATATGAAAGAACAGCTTCTACTGGTAGCAGGGTCCTTTCAGATCTGAGTTGGGCACTTGGGGATGGCATGCTGGCTGGTGCTCCCCATGGACTGGGATCCTGGAGTAGCTCGTCTCAAGCACTGGTCTCTATCAAGTTGTGTGATGGTGTCTCCAGCTTCAGGGAGATTCCTAGGATTAGAGTCTGGGAAAGACCCTATGCTATGGCTCTTGTCCAGACCCTTATCAGTTTAGTCCCCTGATATTTCAGGTCATGACATTAAATAATGACTTTGAGAAGCTGTATGTAAAGAGGGAATTCACTCCTCAGGCATGTGTGTGTGGTTGTGCCTCTTTTCTTGCTGGTGCCTGTGCTCTGGGTGAATTTGAATGCATGCTTGGGAAAGGAGGGAGAGCAAGGTGAATGGTTGGAGCTGTTCATACTGCTCTTGGCTGTACCCAGCAAAATGGAAATTTGATGGCAACCCTATCCTCCTGAAAAAAAAAAAAAAAAAAAAAAAAAAAGAGAAAAGAAAGAAAAAAAAAGCACCACCCACTTTCAACTCTCAATACTGCTTTTTGTTCCTAAATTCCTGTGGGAAGAGTTAAAAGGCACCAGGGCATCCCACACCAGAAGTCAAAGTTATGTTTTGTTGGTTTAATACAGGGGAAGCCAAAAAGGGTTTTGATTTTTTTTTTTTTTTTTTTTTTTTTTTTTTTTTTGCCACATCACAGAATGAAGAAATACATAGTTTGAACTTAGCATCAATAAATAATGCCTTTATGGAGGTCATCTCATACTGATCAGCATTCAAAGAGAAGCAGTGAAGAATTAAACCTGGAAGGAGTTAGAAGTATCTGCTAAATTCAAGATGCACCGAGAAAGACAAGAAAAAAATTTCTTATGAAGGTCAACTTAATGTAAGTGCCTGCTCTAGCAGGACTAATTAGCAATGAAAACTGTTTCCTCAAATAGAGGTTATTATAAATGGAGCTCATTATAGGAAATGTTTGTAGTGAAGCAGACATATATTGCCTGAATTTACCTGTACCTATAAATACCTATACATATACACGCACACATGGAGAATTTGCTGCTTAACATAGATCCCATGTTAGAACAGCTCCAGTTGCTTTGTGCTGCAGCTGCCGTGCAAATTCTTAGCAGCTTTATGTGTAAAACTTGCTGTCAGGCTAGGTGTGACTCCAGTTCCCTGCACTGCAGAGCAGCAGCATTTTAGTGCGTGGTGGTTTCTCACCTACCTTCCTCGTTTGAGCATGAAGCCTTCGTGACTAGCTACCTTGAGGTCTGTGGGCATGGGACACATCTGGACTAATTCTGTTGACCACGCAAGGTTTGCTGTTAGTAGCCTGGGATTTTTAGCTCCTGTGATTACTAACAGGAAAATACTCCTGCTCCAAACCGAGCCCAGTAGGCTCTATACTGGACTTCTAAATTGAAAAGAGGGAGCTGTGTGACAGAAAGCAGGAAAGGGAGGCAAACAGAACAACTTAAATAGGGCTGGGTGAGTAGCTCTTCATGAGCACAAGGAGAGGCCCAAGTAAAATTCCTGCAGCAACCAAGACAAACCCTTCTTTCTCTTTCCCTCTCCTTTGCTGGTTGTTCTCTCTCAGAAAATGTAGATCGTCCTCCTTATTTTATTTTTTACACACATGGGTGTGACTAACGTCTTGCCTAAGGGAATCTTTATTGGAAATACATGGTATTGGAATTTGTTTAAGATTTTTATCAATAGCACGTGTGTCCAGCCTCACATTCAGAAGCGAGGGGAAGGTCAAGGGGTCACAGATCAAACTCCCGAAAAACAAAAAAAGGAGGGGTGGGGGGAAGCTACTATTGATCCCGTCTGCCGCCACAGCCGGTTCTCATTTAGCTGTAGAAGTTAAAGACATTAAAGGGCTGTGACGGAGAGGGGAATAAAAAGCCACAGCCAAATGGAAAGAAAGGTCACTGAGGACAAGCTATGGGCAAGCAGGAGTGCTCCAGGAGGAAGAGGATGCACCTTTAACCCTCCGCGGATCACTCTCTCACAACACCACACTTATTATTAGTTTAACACTGGCAGGTGAGCCCTTTGCCAGGCTTTCTGGAGGAGAAACAGACCCTCCAAGGGCCTCACTGCCTTCCAGGTCTGAGCTTTGGGTTCGGGATTACAGTTCCAGCCTCACTTCAGTCTTAGTAGAACCACAGCCCAGTTGACAAGCACTGGCTTAATGGCTTTTGTAGCAAAAGCTGAGTGTGGACACAGCCCTTACGTTATGGAGGGCAGGAGAGGAAGCAACATACATTGGTCTGCATCATTAAGGAATTACATTAAAATCCCAGCTTTCTGTTGGCTGAACAGGATGAACATCGTAGGGCTTTTGGAGAAGCAAGAACTGGAGACGGGGGAGGGAATAGATCTGGGAATTCCTGTTCTTCTTTACTGATAGAAATGTTTTTACCTAAAATATTTTAATTAGGAATTTTGAATTGGACTGTAAGGGTTCTGGGAGCAATCTCTCCATGTGAAGCAAACTCCATCTATCTGGTGACTAGATTCCCTTTTTCTCTCTAGATGGACAGATTTCCATGCAATCCCTTCCAAAACAATATCCATACCTTCACAGGTCCCCTCCCTCTCCTCTCCTGTTCCCTGCACAGAGGAATTAGGAATACATTCAGCACACTTACTTTGTCCATACTGTCCATATTGGTAGCCAGCCACTGGGTCCACGCTGTAACTGGTAGTGCTGTAGGTGGGAGGACAGTAAGACTGCGAAGTTGGGAGGCTGTCCACGGACTTGATGGAGTCACTCCGCTGGCTGCAGCTGGCAGAGATGGAGTTGGTAGTGTCCAAGCCACCGTGAAGGGGAGAGATGGAGAAGTCAGCCTGGGGCTGTGGAGGAACCCCACTGGGGTTGCTCAGGATGCTCATCACCTGGAGAAACACAGGAGACAACACACCATCATCCAGAGGAGAAAGGGTACATGTGCATACCTTCATGCAGACCAGGGAGAGGCTATCTACATATACTGGTGCTTGATCAGTGTAATACTGTATCAATATAGGTTTAACTCGGATGGAAAATGAAGGCCTGCTTTCACCTAAGACAGACCCCACATTTGGCTCCCCTGTGCTTAACGCTTTATATGAAAGACATTCCTAACGGGTAATGGAGAGGTTGCTTTGTGGCACGCTCAGTCTTTGGTCTGTTTTTTGCTGCCCTCTGAACAACGTTGACTGTGCTGTTCAGAATGAACGCTAGAGAAAGGAATAAAACAAGGAGAAACCTGCTCAATATGCTGCCGTGAGCATCCTCCCTTCCTATGCACAGCCCTCACAGAAGAGGGGACCCACGAGATATCAAGCCATGATCTGCATTTTGAAAAAGGGACTGAAGACAGCCACTGTCTTTGGAATGGTTTGTGCAGGTCCCTAACTGAACCAGACACAAACCCTTCCTGGTTTGGATGCAGATTCTGCAGTAGGGACTGAAATGTCAAAGCTCTCTTTACCCTCAAAAAATCTGTGCATTAAAGGATAACTAGTCCCGGTTCAGCTCATTTCAGTATAGTGCTTGGTTTTAAAATGTAATTAAATTTGCACACAAGCTATCTTCCTGCTTAGAGACCTGAAACAGATGAACTTTTTTTTTTTTTACTTTTTTTTTTTTTTTTTTTTTCCCCACAAAAATGCCAGATTTGTTCCTGTGGGTGAGTTTGAGGTAAGCTGCTGCCTACAGGCCTTCACACCAGTGCCCTGATCCCGCCAGCGCTTTAATGCAATTGCCTCCTGCAATCAGCAAAATGACCCTCGGGCTGCCAAGTTAAGAGTGTAAAGAGTTTGCAGGAGCGGGGCTGCGGCGAGGGAAGGAAGGGAACTCCTGATGCCTCTCGTTGATCTCTGCCGGCCGCCGCAGGCGTGCCTGGCTACATTTGTGCTGGGGAGAGGTGGGGGGAGAGGGGACAGCCTGTCACCTCGGGGGGCCAGGCCAGCGCTCAGATGCCGAGCGGCTGAAAATCTCCGAATTTAGCATAACCTTATTGACATCAATTAAAGTGGCAAATTGGAAATATTTGGAGCCTGGCAAGTGGTAAAATGAGCCCTTTATCCCCCACCAGCGGCCTGGTGAGCTATTGTGCGGAGGATACATTCTCTGGAAGGACACAAGAGGGGTTGTATAGAGCGGCGTCTCCCCTTCCTCCTCACCCCGACACCTTCCCCATCCCCTCCTCCCTCACCTTCCTGCTGGAGCAGAGGCTTAGGCTTGGCGCTGGCCTTTGCTTTCTAAAGCTTCTCCTCCCCCCCGGAAGGGCTCCGGAGTCTTGCCATGATGCTTTGCCTTGATGTGATGCCACCTCCCGGCTCAGCTGGCCTGAGACCCTTCCCAGGCATTTGTCTGGGAGGGGGATTTGGAAGCAGGGGTGGCTGGACCCCTGCGGAGCAGGAGGTGGTAGGGAGGTACTGCGGAGGGGGGAGTTAAAAAGCCTGGAAAATCAGGCTTACTCTGACCACTGGGTTTGCCTGCAGTTAGGTGCAGAGATGCAGGAATGAGCTTTGAACAAAAAGCACAGTGTTGGCAGCATGGAGCTCGGAGAAAGTTCACATCACCTTTCCTCCTTCAGGTTTTTTAGCCTGCACTGAGCTTAGGGTTTCCTACTGGTCCCCAAAAGTTAAAACCATCTTAGCTGTTTCAAGAACCAGGGCGGACTGTGCTCCAACAGAGCCTAAATTACCTCCAGCCCTCCAGACCCTCCAGGCACAGCTTCTTAATCACACCAATGAAGCCTCACGGTATCTAGATGAACTTGTTCAGTCACAACTGTTCACAAAATGTGCCCGTGGAACTCCCTGCCCCATGACAGCACAAAGACTGACATACAGGGAGATGAAGAAAGGAAATTGCATTTAAATATGCAATACTGAGTGGATTAATATGAGAATAGGGCTGTCAGGATGGATGTAACATAAACCTCTCTGCCTCAAGGCTTATGCAGCAGGGAAATCATGGGAGTGTAGCCTGAATGTAGTTTTCCAGCTGCTAAGTTGTTTGTAACCTTCCACTAAAGCTGGGTCATGAACTTTGATCTGTCTCAGCTACGAATCCTCCCTCTCTGCCCCTCAGTGCTGCTGACTGCAGACATACCTCCTAGCATCAGCCTCGCCTGGGCTGCTGGTGTCACGCCCTGCACCGCCTTGCCCCGACGGATATCCAGGACACTCATGAATGTGGCAGCCACAAAACATCATTGGATTTCATTTGCAAGCAGAATCAGATGTTTAAAACAATAAACATCCTTCTTGCATGTGCTAATACACAGACGCAGGAATTAGGAGTTATTTTGGGCAAGCTCCAGCTTGGGCAGCACTAAGTAGGGCCATTGTGATGCTCCCTCCGTGAGCTGTCCAGGTCTTGCTGGACTGCAGATTTGGTGCATGCACTGCAAACCCCTGCAGGTGCAGGAAGAAATCACGCACTAGAAAACAACGGGCTACTGGAACCTCAGAGACTGGAGGGCTTTCTAGTGCTCTCTGTCCTGGCCCTCTCCCCAAAAGAGTCAGCTGCTTTATATTACTCAGGAAAAATATAAAGGTCTTAAAGCAAGCAGAAGTCATATTAACACTTCCGCTAAGGCCCTTTTAAAAAGAAAAGGGGTTGTAAAGCAATGTTGGTAAATGAAACCCAGATTCACACTCTTCAAAGTGAGAGGAGCTGAGACTGGAGAAGACACTTGCACAAATCCTACTAAAGACAGTAATTGGCTTTAGTTAGTCAGAATCAGGACTGATTTCTAATCCTGGCTCTGCTACTGACTCACAAGGGCTTGTGCAAGTCACTTAAGCTAGGACTCAACTCAACTGCCCTTAGACACGTGAAGTTAAGTTTCTAGTCTCTTCTAATCCTCCAGAATCCCTCTACAGAGAGACTGACACTTCTAAGGGACAATTCACCCTGTTCCAAGACCCCTTTCATAAAAAGATGGTCTTTATTACCCTCTGGAAATGCACTGTGAGACAGAAGGATGCTGATATTTCATCACGACGATGCCAGGGTGGTGAACGGACATGTAAGCGAGCAGAGGTCAGAGAGAGGGGATGCTGGAGGGTGACTGTGAGATGCACGTCCCTGCTGGATGCTCCCGCAGGGGTAGGGTGGCTGTGTACTGCAGACCAGCTCTGATACAGGCTGCAGGGCTCAGCGGAGCCAGGAGCCCCAAAAAGCCAGTTCCCTCCTCAACAAGGCTGACCGTGGGAAACATCTGCCTTTTCCAGGCACACCGAGCAATTTGGGACTGCCAGCCACCCCCCTCCCCCCGACTCTGTTTGCACAAGGACGGCATCTGATCTTCCCCACCCCAGGACATGAAGGTGTCAGAAATAACAAGAGCAAACCACAGATTTCTACTCCCCCTTTGCTCTGCAGCCGCCCAGCATGGATAACCCTACATGAGCCCTTCAGCCTCGGCAGGCCAGCATTATCTGACTTCTTGTTTCAGCTGGATAAACTCATTTTCCAGGCAACTTTTGAACTTAGGGAAGTCTGAGGCATCTGGAGAAATACCCTCCTCAAGAATGCAAAGTCCTTTTACCTTTTCTTTTTGACCTTGCTTTCTTATAATTTATTACTTCTTGGTGCATTATCATCACTAACTAAAAATCAATACCCACTTCACATCTGTAAGGTTTTATCTGGAGGGAAATCTGCTACCTGTCCATCACAGTGACTGACAGCCTTCCCTTTCCCCTCCCTCTCATCGGTTGTCTCTCTCCCTTTCCCCATCTCCTTTCCCTCTGCTGCTGTCCCAAATCAGTCACAGGCTTGGCGTGGGCTTGCACTTTAGGCTAAGTCAATAACAGCCACAGTGCTAGGAGCCTTCGGCCTTGTTCCTACCCTTTCCGGAGGTCATTTGTCATGGGGGAGAGAGGGTACGGGTCTCGATGTGTTGGGGAGACCAAGGTTAATGAACAAAGACCCTCATGGATGAAAGAGCCAGCCCCCCCCCTCCCTTGCCTCCTGCTGCTGCTGCCCTCCCCACCCTCATCTCTGCAGCTCCCCCCTGTCCCCCCCCATCTCCCCCCCCCCGGGACGTTTCATCACTCTCTCCCATACTTTAAAAGAGTTAAAAAAATGTAATTAATTCCCTCCATTTCTGAGCTGGCCCTCAGGGCCTCTGGCCATGGAAACTGTAGCAGGGGAAATGTGCACCCTTTATGATAAACGAATGTGGCTTTGGAAAGGCAAGTGCAATTAGGGCCTTCAATCTGTGCAATCAGGCCTTCAGATTTTAGGTTTGGAGGTTGGGGGGGCAGGAGGGGCTCGAGGGACAGACAAGTGATAGGGAGAGATACTGCTCCAGATAGAGAAGGGTGTGTGCATGTCAGGGAGGGGAAAGGGGAGGATAACAGGTTGGTCTGATAACAAAACCTTGCCCCTGCAGACCTGGCTGCTGGACGGCCTCTCTGGCCAAGATCTCCATGAGATGTACAGGGATGGGCCGAGCCATGTTGGACAGGCTTCGCATCCTCAGAGTCCCCACATCTCCTGCCCTGCATCACTGGTTTGCTCTGGGCTTGCAGAGATGCCCAGCCAACAGGCATCAGGCCCTGAGACACTGCAGACTTGCCATCTACCCTCAAGTGGTGCTGCACTATCTCATGACCAGGAGGACGCAGAGACGTTGTGAGGAGATCAGATCCAAAAACCAGAGTGATCGGGAGGCAGGAGCCTGTGGACAGCATTTTCTGGAGTGACTCCCAACGCCGCGTGCCTCTGGTTTTGTGCACCTGATTTGACACAGCGTAAAGCATCCAAAATCAGAGGCTGCCTTAGAAAAATGCTGCATTTAGAAACTGCTGAGCCTGGCTAAGTTCTGAATAAAGGGAAGACGTAATCATCTGCAACTAGCTGAAGGGTGTTAACTCCAAAGAAGCTGCCG